GCCGCAGGGCCCGTGTGGCGCGGAGGGGGTTGGCCTAAAGGGCTCCAGCAGAGGAGCTGCGGAGAAGGGGGCGGCTGGGGGTGGCTGAGCGTGCGGCGCGCTTAGGCACCGTGGCTAAATTCCCCCGCTGCGAAGGGGACGGGGGAGCGGCGTCACTAGCCTTTGCGGCTGGCGGGGAGGGCGGAAGTTGCGCGGTGAGCCCTAAAGGGGGCTTGTAAAAAAAGATCAGGTCCATTTAAAGTTGCTGCTGGAGGGCGGCTCGGGCCCCACTGGGGCGCGGGCGCGCACACACACACACCCGGGCGGGCACGGACGCACACACAACACACACAATCGGTGCGTGCAGCAGCCGCCGCCGCCGCCGGAGTTGTCTGCGCTGCTTCTTCCCCTGCTGCAGCCGCAGCAGCAGCGCGAGTGTTGACTTCCAGCCTCCTTTATTTATCTCCTCCCGGCCTCCCCTTCCCTGGCCCAAGATGTAACTACAGCTCAGACACTACGGACCCGCAGATCGCTGCCGAGGCGGCTTTGGCAGAGGAGAGAGAGGAAACCCCCCTCCCCAAAAGGGGGATCTCAAGGGCGTCGGGGTGCTCTTTTCTCCCTCCCCCCGCTCGTCTCTTCAGGGGCAGCCTCTCTCCATGATGAATGTTTCACTCAAGTGATTATTTTGGGGGTGCTTTGCTTTGCATTCGCCTCTCTTTTATTATTATTATTATTATAATTATTATTATTATTATTATTATTATTATTTTCCCCCTTCCTTTCCCCACCGCCACCTCTCGGATTTATTGCTAGGAGAATCGCATTGTGAGGCGAAGAAAGTAGGATTACAAGAGACCACTACCAGCCAACAGCACCCACCCAGGATTTTTTTTTGTCGGTGGTTTTTTTTTTTAATTATTATTGTTATTATATTATTATTATTATTTTTTTAACACCTCGTCGCGGCTTTAATTCATGAAGCAATCGTCCCCTTTTGCCATCAGCATTTGGATACCAGAATGAGCAAAGAAAGACCCAAGAGGAATATCATTCAAAAGAAATACGTAAGTGGCCGTAACAATCTCTCGTTTGACTCCCAGGTTTCGGAAATGGCAGTGAATGTCAAGTTTCGGGCTCATCCTTGCAGCCACCAGGCTTTGAAACAGATGTCTGCTAATGCTGATGGATTGATTGATTTGTTTGTGTATGTATTTAATGTATTTATTTATCCCCCAAGGTGCTGGGCAGTTTCAGGGCCTCTCTTTATTTTTAATTGCAAAGCCTTGTCCTGCCCGGTGCAGATGGGTAGAGCGATACCTCGAGTGAATAAATGTATTGACCTCAAATGACACAATCATGATCTAGTTTTAGGTGAAAGGCAGGGAGGGAGAGGGGGGTGGGGGGGGATGCTGCTGCCATCGTGTAACTACAAACTGCGTTTTCCAGCAGCTTTCTGTAGATTGCACTTTGCAGGCAAAAAAGAGAGAGAGAAAAAAAGCCTTTTGCATGGAGGAGTGCGGGGCTATTCCTGCCGGGGTTGTGGGAAGCCTTTTAAGTTGGGATCCAGTGTCTGGTTATGGCGAGCTCGTTTCTTGCACGACCACATCACATCTCACGGATGTGATCCCTCGCTCCTTCGGCCGGCAGCAGGACCCGAGCCGGCCGGGGATAGTGTTACAGGGAATGCGTGCGTTGGGATTGACTTGAATAATGGGGAAATAGCTTTAAAAAAGAAAAATGATGGCGATGCCTTGAAATTTTAGAAGAATGCGGTCCAGTCCAGGCTGCACAGCATTATGTGTCTGTCTCTCTCTCTCTCTGCTTTTTTTTTTTTTAATTCAACCGCTTAACCAATCCCTTGTAATTGTCTAATCCTTTAAACGTATAAATGTGCAGAGGTAGTTGGATTTTTTGTGCGTGCTCCAGCTCCGTTTTGATTGGCATGGGGGAGTTTTGGGGAGAAAACTGAGGGGGGGGGGGGATCCAAAAAGGCAGGGGATCGCTTTCTCTCTCTCTCTCTCTCTCTCTCTCTCTCTCTCTCTTTTCCAGCTGTATGTTTAAAATGAAAGGTTTCATTTTGTTTGGGGGAGGGGGGAGACTTGCTTTGGGGTATAGTGAATATAACACTTTAAACTACAACTTTTTTTTTTTTTTATAAAGATATTTTGGTTGGTGGTGACTTCGCCCCCCGGGGGATGTTTCTAAAAGGAGGGGGGGGTGACCTTCGGGACACTTACTCTCCCTTTTAGAAATAGATTTCCTAAAACCTGCCGCTGGCTTCCGCCGCCTGCTTCTCTCGGGGGTTGACTCTTGCAAAGCTGAAGGCAGAGGAGAGCGAGGTGAAATGGGCAGCCCCCCCTTCCCCCCTCCAAGCTGCTTTTCCCCCCGAATTTCTGAATTAAAATACATCCGCATTGCAGAGGAATTGGGAGGCTGAAGCCGACTAGTTTAAAGTCTTACAATCCAGACGGGAACGGCGCGTGTTGCCTTAAGACTTTCCCCCACCAGACGGGCACGTTTCTGGGAGACAAAGCAGAAGGGGGTGCGGGAGGGGGGGTACGATCGGCACTGGTCATGACAAATGAACATACCCCCCTCCCCTAGGATTTTTTTATTATCATCATTATTATTATTATTATTATTTAAAAGCCCCCCCCAGCTCCGGGCTGGTGAACAATGCAGCCTCAGTCTGGCCGCTGCCCCTTGGAGATTTAGTAAAACTACTGTCAGCCCCGCAGGTACGAGATGCCCCTGCGAGCAGGAGTGGGGAGACAATGTCTCCTTGTGTTCCCGAGTTGAACTTCGTGGAGTGGCTGGAGGGGAAGGGCTCTGTGTTGGGGAGGGGGGGAGGCTCCTGCCAGGTTTCTCGGGGGGCAGCAGCAACAGGTTAAGCGGCGTGTCAGCGCGAGCCCCCAGGTTCCCGGCCACTCAGCCCAGCCGGGGCCAGGGGCTTGTTGTGCTTGTGACGTCACAAAGGGAAGGGCCTGGGCTCTGTGGAATCTTCGTCGTCTCAAGGTTCTAGTTCCACCCCCCCGCGTGACGTCAAACGTGAGGCGGGCCGCGTGTGCCGGGGAGGGGGGGTGGGGAATGCAGCTTTGGCACTGGCCTCACTGCCCAGGTGAGCAGGTGGAGCAGGCACTGAGCTCGCATCCCCTTCCTCTGCCCTCCTTTGGAGGGGGTGGCATCATGCAGCTCCCCGGCCTGAAGGAGAGCATCCTACCTCTTTAGGTAGGAGGCACTGCTTCCCTCTGATGGCAGTCATTTGCCCTTTAAGAAGGAAGGGTTAGTCATTTTTCTCTTTTCCCCCTGCGTGGGATGTCACTTAGCACCTTAAGGCGGTGCAGAGCGAGTGGGTAGATGCGTCCTTGCGTGTAGTGGTGGTACTGGGGTGGGCTGATTGGCAAATAGGACGTGACTGACACCTTCCCTCTGACCTTTTGAAGTTTTGAAGCGTCACAGCAGAGCATTCTGGGCAGCCTCTTTCCCCTGACGAGCATAAATGTGCACCCACACAAGTCTTTTGCATGCGCACTTCAGCCCCAGGCAGGATCCCGCACACCGGATTTCAACCACAGCTTTCAGAAATCGTTCCTGGTTCTCATCCTTCTCGCCTTTCTGGTTCTCAGCCTCTTGTGGCGACTCTTTTTTTTGCAAAGGTAGTCTGTGCACAGACTTGCACCTCCCCCGCACCTCTTTCTTTTTAGCTGATCTCTTTTTTTCACCTTTTCCTCCTACATCCCAAACCTCCTTCCTTCTCTTGCATGTTGCAGATGCATAATAGGTTTTATTTCATACTACAGTACTTGGATGTTTCAAGATGCTTCTGGTGAACCTTTAATTTGTTTTTGAGGTTTTTCCTAGTTTAGATGAACTAGAAAATTTTGCTTCTGAAAGCTCAGTCTTTTGAAAAGGTATCCTCAATCAATCAATTTATTTATTTATTTATTTATTTATTTATCTATTTATTTTTACTGTCCTAAGTGGTCTCCAGGTCTCTGTATGGAAGAGCTGGCATTTAAGGACTCCTGTGGAGTTACTGTACTGGAACAGAACAATGGTCCACCTAGTGTCATACATTGACCATGTTACTGCCTGCATGTGATGCTTACAGAAAGCATAGATTAGAAGTAAGGAAATGTGATTCTCTTATACCAGTGAATGGCATAGCATAATAAGAAATAAGAGGTCAAGTAATAGTCCAGTCAGCAAAAAACAAAAAAAATGTGCAGCGTAGGCTGCAGCTATCAGAGGGCTCAGCTGCAAAGGCTGTCACAATA